GTTGCGCGAATACTTATTACTTCAATATTTCTATCGATTAATTGTTTTTTTCTTGTTAATTTCGCAACTTACATAAATAGCTATTTTTTTTTTTTTTGTAATCTACCTATTCTAGAGATTTTCGAGAATATAGAATGTCAATGTTTATAAAAAATAAGTTAATACATTACAATTTTACATAGTTTTTTTGGAAATTGATCAGTGTACGTATACTTTCTACACCCACTGTATTTACAAAGAAAAGTTTCTCGATAAAATGTTACGTCTCCTATAGAACGATAGATATTAATCGAAACTGTTGAGATTCGAATTTAGACTAACAATAGTAAGATAAGGTGAGAACTCGTCTCGCAAGGAGACATCACGGAGTACAAGTGTTGGGATGTCATAGAAGCAGCGTGGCGCAGTCGGTAGAGTGTCAAGTTGCGAAGTCAACGTTTCGCTCTGGACGCGGTTCGATCCCGGTAGGAGTCAATTAGAGGAAAGTTCATTTTTTTATTGAAATCGTAACATTCCAAACTAACGTGCGCAAAGTGACATGTCGACATTCGTAAGTTGTATGATTCTTTATTATAATAGAATAGCAATAGTAATGGGATAGTGGTGATATTAATAATATACAGTATACATTTCTCGTTATCCGTATTTTCCCGAAAACATACATCGAACATCTCAATTGCGAAATGCATTAAAGATATATCGTAATATGTTACATCAAGCCAGAGTTGCATCGCTCGTAAACCATTCTATACATACATAACATACAGCTCGATTAATACTTTTCTTCAACTTTAACGTTTACTCTTATAGTCCTCCTTTGTAATTTATTATTATTTCACTGTAAGTATACAATATCACTTTGGGAGCTTTCGAGTAGACCGATCGAATTAAATCGCATCCCGATAAACCCTTCTTCGATCGTTGTGCCGTCACGTATTCCTCGTTTGCTAATAAACGCAAAATATCGTAAAATACGTAGCACAAGAAATGCTTCTTTTCCTTTATCTTTTTATATTCAAATAAAAGACCGCTCGAGTAACTTGGGTGCTACTAAAAATAACAATTTCGTTCTAAATTCGTCGTTTGTAGCGAAAGAAATCAAATTATATCGAAATCGAAATTATACCTAAATAGAACCGAGGGATTTCTTTAAAAACGAATTAATAGCATATGTGTACAGGGATTAATTGATGGATAACATCGCAGTCGAGACACAAGTCATAACGAAATGCCATTTTTCACAAAAAGAATTATTCTGATTTTGATAATGTATTAATTGAATTTCTTTCTTTCTCGCTTTTTTTTTTGTAACTGTACCCCCGTGGGAATGATTCGAACAAGTAGCTGTAGTTCCCGAAAAGCTTACGCATATATATATATATATATATATATATATATATATATATATATATATATGTATGTATATATGTATGTATATGTATATTGTATATCTATTTATATGTACGTATATACATGTCATGTACGCAAAAAAATGCGTTCGCATTATAATATTCTACAATTTATGCGCGCGCGCGTATGCGAGTGCCTGTATGTGTATACTCTTGAAAGCATATCGTGTCACGAGTATAAAACTGAATAGAGTCTAATGTGTACTTTACAGGAATTGACAAAACCAGTTCACTCCAATTGTGATTAATGGCCAAGAAAAAATATTGTTTTTTTTAAACGAAACTGGAATCGTTACGATTTCCAATCCTGTAAAAACATCGCACTTGGTGAAAGTAATCGACGGTAACTGAGCAACAAATCTAATTTACCGACGGATACACGATTAGGTTACTCTCTTCGATTCGTTCGTTCCGTTATCTTTACGTGTCCTCTCGCTTTCGATCGTTGTCTAATCAGAAAACGTTAAACGTCAAATGAAAAATCAATGCGAAGCTTATTCTACGTTTGTACACTGCATCGTAAACCTTCGTCATTCTTCGTTTCCCAAATTCTCTAGTCATAGGTACCAGTATAGGTTAGCTTACACTAAACAAAACAAACTTTTTCTCACTGTCAGCTAAAAAATTGGATAATATATATTACATAGGCGTGGAATAAAAGTATGCTTGCTATAAATCGCAAAATACTTTTTATGGCATATTCTTTCCTAATTGCAAACTCAAATCCTACGAAAGCACCAATAATCTTGAATACGAGTTTTCGTCTTTCTCGGTTAAGAAAAATATATGGTTCGGATCGATTCTTGTAGACGTAAGAAAACCAAAGAAAACTGTAACACGATTCACGTTAGGTATTCGAATGGAAACCGATAACATATTGTAGAAAACTGCGTCGTTGGAAAAACTCGTACGTTATCCTAGACTAGATATTTTGAAATAAGCAAAGTAAGGTATCTGAGAAATTTGAAAGAATTGCTTACGAATGAAAGTTGAATTCGAGATATGCTGGACACTCGAAGCAATCGCTATAGATCAATTTGGAAAGCAAACAGTGGAGAGGAATCGTTCGGAATCTGTAACGTGACAGTCGATTAGGATTAAATCGATAAATAATTTAGGTATAATTCCACTTTGAAGCAACGAAAATTTAGTAGACGTCTTGTCCCAAAGATATTATACAAACCGGAATATAGACGAGTAGAATAATTTCGAGTTATCTTGTACAAATAGTTTCTTTTTTTCTCTTGATTTTCTACTGGAAACTCTAGAGACGACTACGTTAACAGGCAGAAATTTGAAAACCTTTTCTTACGGTAATCCAAACAGGAAGAGAGATAGGACGTGAAGCGGTGCCAGTTTCACCAATCTAAATAAATAGATGGCAGTTACGTTTCAAATATTTGTATAACGTTGGTATAACGATACAATAGCCCGACAACGAATAACAGCATGTACCTGCGATACGCATCACCTAACAATGGGATCCATAAAATTTTCATATTCCTAACATTTCATACATTACCGACATTCATTTCATTTTCTATGTATGCAATAAATGTTTTTTGCCATCGTATAAAATCAGACTTGATATCGTATCATGTTCCTAGATACGGAACAAATTCTCGAAACGTGGACAATTCGATCCTTGCTACAATTCACATTACACTTATTCACGTACAACTTAAACGCGAATATTGTCCCAAACGCAAAACTGTTACAATAATATTCATTTCGCTCGTGATCACTCAACGTAGCACGCGTTCCTTTTACACTTCGTTATCATTTATCATTGAAATTCTGCGCTTTATGTCATCCAACAGAGCTGTACCCTATATACCGTGACCGTTGAACCCATTAAAACTCTCTAACAAACACACTCGACCCACTCAACGTAACATCAGCAACGTAAGTTTCTCTGTTCGATTGAAATTTACATCGTTAAAGAATGTCACGACTGAACGGATTCAATTCTAAAGACTGAATAGTAATAAAATTATCTACGAATCGTATTGCGTTGAGTTTGTGTGAAAACATTCCGTGAAACATTGATTATACAAAAGAGTACCTAGTATATGCTCAATGAAATTCGATCGTAACTGCAAATGATGGAATAGTAAATTCATATGTTGTTTGCGCTTTAAAAGAACTAAATTTGATGCATGAGAAAATTCAAATTGTAAAGTTGGATATGCTTGACTAAATCAAGCCGCATAACTGATACCGTTCGCTTACATATAAAATTTGGATTTCTGTAAGCAAAGCGATCCTGATAGAAACAACATTTTTTTCCTCTAAACATCACCCGATATACCTATATCAGGTGTATTCTAGACGATCTTGCGAATTTTATCGTGGAGGATACCGACTCTGCTGCGTGTTCTTTGCCGCATGATCCTTGATGTCATTTGGGTTGTACATCATTGGTCCCTAAACATCATTGTTTTCATGAAAGACATGTTAGCGATAATTTTAAATTAAACTTATGATATTTCATTAATTCCATAAAACTTGTAATATTTTTCTAAAGTGTCGTGCGATGGATAATTAAGTTAAGTTTAGAAATCGTTACTTTCTAAAAACAAGGGAAGCATTGTTACTATGTTTAAAGTAAAAAAGTACTAATAAAAATTAATAAGAAAATTATGTTTTCTTTTCGTGTTTGTAACGGGTAACTTGGATGATTAAATGTGACGCAAATCGTCAAAGACAATTATTGTAATTAATGTGTAAACATACATTGCGACACCGAACTCAAAAATATATATCCTTCACCAAGCTTTCCCATAGTTTTGCCATATAAATATCACGAGAATAGCGTGCTCGACATAATAAGTTTAAGCTTGATTCGGATGCAAAGCTATATGACTGTGAATCACGAATGAAATTCTTCTCTTAAATCTACGAATTGTTCCAAAAACTTGTTAAGTAGTATACTCGATATCCATGAAAACACTTTCGAGTACTTTTTTTATATCTCTTCCCGGAATTGCAATAAAATTATTCGTGAGAGCTAATGCCGTGCAAACTCAGGAACAATTCCACGTACGGGAAGGTACCGATTAAAGCGTAATCTTTGATTATCAAATCGTTATGGAATACAGTAACGTATTATACTATAGTAGATAAATTACAATTTCAACCGTGAATCATTGAATCGAATCGAATCGAATTAATAAATGATCACCTCTGGAATAAGTAATTGAATTGTATGAGTATCTAATGGCACTGAATTACCTTGTTCCGTGGAAGGAGACGCGGATCCCTCATAGTGTAGCTCTGCACCTCTCGCGATAACGAGCTGGTTGAGCTCCATCGAGAGAGCTGTTATGCCATATACAAACACAACAATTTTGTCTGACTAACCGATACTCGCACTATTGCTATGATTATGCAAAACAAAAATGTGACCATGCAACACCGATGCTTCAACTAGTATATCTATCACGCTGGCTCACAGTAGCGACAGTGACTTATGTTTTATGAAATCATCGGTATTGCATATACGTATACAGAGTGTCCCAGAACTCCTGTAAGAACCGGAAATGGGCGAGTATCTGAAACGATTCTGAACAACAATTTCCTGTACAAAAATGTTGGCGAAGGCTTGATTTTTGAATTATTAACGAAAAACACCGACCAATCATAGCGCTAATAATTCAAAAATGAAACCCCCAGCGACAATTTTGCAAAGAAAATTGTTGTTCAGAATCGTATCAGCTACCTCCCATTTCAGGTTCTTACAGGAGTTCAAAGACACCCTGTATTGCATTGTCGTATATAAAAATTTGATATTTTCGGTGATGGATATGAGTCAATTATATTAAATAGCCATGCTGAAACGTGTAACGTAAACGTATTAATGCGTCATTTTAGTGTCGTGTACCGTATGTTAACTACAAACCTAAAACACCTTTCTTTCTCTACCGTTGCCAAAAAGAAACTGTACGTACACATACATACCCATCCAAAATGAAAGTCTAAAGCATCATCGAGCTATGGAACGATGTTAAAACGAATTGAAAAGTGTAAGTAGAATAAGAGGAAAGTAAACACCAGTGAAACGACACAACTTTCCAAACAGTCTACGTCGTTATCTGTCCTGTCATTCTATTCATCGTCGTTACACCGTTAATATTAATTTGTCCGAGTATCGTACTATTACAAACAATTGAATCGAGTTGCACCAAACGTATATACATTATTCACCCTATAGCTCATGCTTCCAGTTAAGTATTACAAGCCATGCATGCACGATAATAATGAACGACACGTAAAATTAATAAAATAGTCCTTACTATCGGTAACAATTATTATTTGGCTACATCATTCTGCCTCCCCGACTGCTTGCAAAGGAAACATAAAAAGAAATGTAGATTAAACACAGATGAACGAGATAAAGAATGTCTGTAGTGATCTTGAAAAGTCTAATTAGTATCGGTAACATTAAAGTAATCCAAGAAGAGAATGGTTTTTATAGAAACACAAATAAAACCATGAATACGTTGTCGTTTCTTCTACAGGATTCATCGTTTGGCACAAAAGAAACCTTTTCCGAGATTACTTTCTGTTACGCGCAATTCAAACAGCCAAAAAAAGATATAATTCTTATACGATGAAATGTATATGCAGAAATAGAATTTAATTTCAGAGGATACTTTCGGGTGAGTAGACAATACACAAAACTAGGGAAAATTTACGACAAATACAAGACAAGGTTAGAATCGTGGTTCTAAAGGAAATTCGCGAAAACGTAACATCTTAACATTACAGTTCCAGAGGGATGTTCAAGATACAACTAAGCTGCATACCAGCATACTGCAGCCATAACGCAAACATAGTAAAGGGGTTGGTTGTGTAGAATGAGTTTGAAATTGCGTAGACGCATACGTGAAACTGTATTGTTAATGTTGTATATATGTTTGTGGTGACGTGACACGACATGGTTGAAAGAATTTCCACATACTTACTATATTATTTATTAGAGACAACTTACCCCTTGCGATGTGTTTTCAGAGACGTTCGTGGAAGGTGCGACTGGTGTTGATGTAGGTGTTAAGAAGGCAACGGTAGCGTTTGAATCGTTAACTATGAAGAATCGTTGATAGAAAAAAAAAGAAAAGGAGAAAAAAAATATTAGTCGAATAAAGAATAAGAGTTACTATTTGAAAATTTACCTGGTGCAGGAATGAATAACTGAGGTGACGAAGTTGCCATAGGTACGATTGGAGACGTTACCGGGGTCGGTATACTTGACGGTGCTGTGTTAGTTTTCAAACTATTCGGATTCATTATGTCTATGTAGTTGGCACGCATGTTTCTGCCCTTCGGTAATTTGAACTTATTTACGGTCGCGTCATCGGTTTGTAAAGTCGATTGAGACAGTTGGGAGGTCTGTTCCGTTACAGGTGCTCTAAGTCCAACGTCCGAAGCTTTCGGGGGAGGAGCTAAAGCTGAGGAGCTTCTGTCTCCGTCTTCGTCTTTATTCGTCCACTTTTTACCAACAGGATCCCAAACGATCTGTTCGAAAAATAAAACGATACCGTGTGAGCATCGACTTGTAGACTCGCGGGATTAAAACACAGATTAACACTGTTAGTATCAAAGGACTAAACTACAGGGCTCGAAATACTGAAATGTTAGAACGAGAAACATAAAATGTTAAGCCAGAATATATCAATAATTCGTTAGCTGTTAATCGATTGTCCGAACATTGAGTTATACTGGCCTTTTCCTCTCCCATCATAAAATCACAGACGAATCACTCAATTACCACAAGTACCCGCGTGAGCCCTTAGCAACATAAAACATAAAACATAAAACCAACTATCGTAATTCTTCGATACGCAACACTACGCACAACTTGAATATATCGCCAAGACCTTACCGCTGGGTTACTGTCATCCGGTAGGATCATTTGGTTCCTTGGCTTTGGTGCAAGTTTGCTGAAAAAGCCACCAAACCAAGAGCCTCCACTGTTGGAAGGTTTCTTCTCGGGTGCTTTCTCCGGTGCCTTCTTCGTCGCTGACGTAGCTTTCGACGGTTGTTTCGGAGTCTCGAGTGCGTCCAACTCTTCCAATGGATCGTACTGCTTTTTCGTTGACGGCGTCATAGAAATCGCAGGTTGAGGTGGCTGAAATAAAGTATACGATTCATCATCGCAAAGTTGTTCCAACAAAGTTGATCACTTTTTACTGCGATAACACCGTATGCATCTATACCAAATATCGTAACCTCGACACGTTTAGCAAACGATACTTTTTCTTTCTAAAATCACGTAATTATCACAGTAAATAGCGACAAACTTTGCTTTCAATCAGAAATATATTTTGTGATTTATGAAACGTAATGACAAAGAGGCGCAAATCTCCAAAAATTCAAAAAATTTCATAATATAGGAAACTTTATTGTATATTTAACAATAACAAACTTTAATATATACATATATGTATGTATATATATGTGTGTGTGTGTGTGTGTATAAATGACACCTAAAACAAAGAGCAAGTTCTATAAACTACGCTCTGTATCAAAGACTTGCATCGACCACTCACTCGCTAGTAACATAAAACACATTGATAAATAATCGTTTCTCTTAAACGGAAGAACTGGCGTACGAAAGTAACAATCTAATGCGTTCTGTAAATACAATTCCGAATGCACAATAACGATATTATTATATGTATATAGTTTCAGGATAGAAAAAAAAAAGTTTAGCGATCAACTAACGAATCGTTATATGCATCTAGAAACGTCTACTCGCAATCTGTGGGAACATCGATATCATATGTTTTAGGGATGGACTTTACGATAGGAACATCGTCAAGTTCGGTTAAATTTAGATCACTTCTAACCGGTCGAACTGGTAAATCTATCGGATACGTTCCACCGAAGACGAGTGGTTTATACCGACATAATTCAGAAGAATTTTGCGAAGAATTCGAGTAAGACCACGCATCTACCGTATCGCAAATAACATCTTTCCTTCGGATATGTGGAGCTACCCTCATCACTTTTTTCTCTTCAAAGTTGCAATACTGCTTCAAAGTCTGACTCTCGTATTCAGAAACTGTTGGTGTTTCGTTTTCTGAACGTGAATCAAACTTGGATAGAGACTCGAAGTTTATTTCGCTAAACTGAATATCCAAGTCGGTGGTTGTCGACGAAATTAAGCTTTTCTCGTCTACTTCGCCAGGAATAATTTCTTTATCATTTGTCGATTTATTCTTTACTTTACATTTTAAAAACACGGGAGGTTGCGAACAAGGCGGCTTCGTGTGTTTGCCGTCTATTTTCTTTATCTTTTTTACATCTTGCGAATGAGTTTTATTATTCGGTAAAATTCTTGGGTAATCTGTTACGACCTTTGGATATGTTATCAGTTTTTGAGGTTTTCGAAATTTCTCGTCTGAACTGGTCGACCTATACGGATTAGGAGTTGTCGACGCCGACACCGACGACCGTGCCAAATTATTTATATTAAAGTTGAGCGAAGAAGAGGGAGAAGCGACATATAGACCAGTTAATACTTTGCGTCGGCGTAACAAGCAAACATTGGTGTTATCCAATGACCACTCAGGATCGAGATTACTATCCGGAGTAAGCATGTAATTACTTACTTCAGGGGTGGATGCTTTTTCTTCCCTTTCCGTCTGTCCGTATGCAAGCATCAACAAAAAAAAAAGGTGAAAAAAGTGTTATTCTTAAACGTATTATATCATATGTAAAGCACAAAATACTCGGAAATATTACATGAAAGGTATATGCATGCAAATCGAAATGAAAAAGTGCTTAATGAAAGTATGCTGGTAACGATACCAATGATACGAATGAAAGATTCAAGTCCATGTATTGTTGCAACGCAATTGTATCGATCGATTTACCTCATAGTTCCATTTTTCCTGTTGCTGAGAATTATCGATGTCACCTTGTTCCGAGGGGTACAGTGTTTGAGTTGAAAGCTGTTGCCAGTTCGCGACGGTATTGTCATTCCTCCCGTAATTATTCTGATAATAGGACTCTTGGTTCCAGTAGTCTTGATGTTGCGATTGTTGGTATTGACAAGATTCCTCGTTATTTCTTGGGTATTGCATACTTTGATCATGCGTGTCTGGTATATTGGATGGCAAGGATAATGGTTGCCATTCCGCCTGCACATCAGTCGTGGCTACTTCCATCATTGATGATGGACCTTCTCTGTAATCGGGCTGAACTGGATTCCATGGTTGTTGTTGTTGTTGTTGTTGTTGATGTGTTTGTTGTTGTTGTTGATGTGTTTGCTGTTGTTGCTGCTGTTTCGTCTCATACATTTCTACATTTTGCACGTTGTTGTGCGATTCCATTTTCATTTGTAAACCACCGGCATTGTTTTCAATAATTTCTCCAGTATGGCATTTACCAACTATCTCGACTAAATTATCGAACCAAGTTAAAGTTATACCTTCGTCGGTCGAATCTTTATAGACTGGGTCATGGTATTTAATTCTGTCTCCTAAATTATATACCGCACCAATAAACGATCTCTTGTATTTCGATGGTTCGTTAACGATATTCACTGCAACTTGTTCTATGTACAACAAGGCTTTCTCTATCAATCCATGATCAACCATTTTTTTAGCCAAATCAAATTTAAAAGTTTGAAGATCCACCAATGTAAATCCTGGTTCGCTAAGGTTTCGAGCGTATTCGTATATTTCTGTAAGCATAACAGCTTCCATCGTGATAAACGCGTTATACGGTTTATGATGATTCGCACCGATCAATACAAGTTTCACGTTATTCGTTCCGTAAGCACCGAAATCGACTTGTGCGAGTATGTAACAGAAATGAGCAGCATGGATGTCCCCTCGCGCGAAAAGCGTGTCTCCGAGCGTTGTAATCGAACGACGATTAATTTCCGGATTGGCAGAAGTGTTCGATATAATCATAGCTAAATGAGGTCTCCAATCGTCCCAGCGTGGATCCGATATACCGGTAACAACGGCGGGCACACGGCCAGAATGAAGTTGATATAAAGTTTGCAGTGGATCGTGGTAAGGTAAACTATTGGCAAAACGTGTCATCACCGAAGCATGAGTACGTTTGTCTAATTTACTAGCCAAGAAGAGTGCATGGCCCCAAAGTCCTTCGTTCATCGCATATTCTGCCCATAAAAAACAGCACGTGATATACCCGGAAGATTTCGGTAAATGTAACAAAATTCTAATAAATGCAATATTTACCCAGTGCTTCTTGCACTAATCCGTATAGTAGCGTATTTCTAAACTCGTCTGTAATTTGTTCGATGCTTTGCCGTGGTTTATTTTCGACTTTCTCAGCAATTTCTCCGCCATCTTGATTACCCTGAATTCCATCTCCACCCGTGACACTAGACCTTTGCGATATCACGGATTCCCTTCTTCCTAGATCCTGAGACTTTTGCTTGTTCAAATCGTAAGGATACGCGTCTTTATTTCGAAGCAATAACGCTGCTATATCAACACCGACAACATTCTAAAAGGAAACGCATAATTAAGTAAAAATAACAATAACAACGATAAGTTGTCGTTACACGTAAAACATATTTCTTACTCCATTCTGTTGGATCAACATAATCATTAGTTCGTATAAAAGAATATACGAAGCGCGATCGACCATTTCTTCGTTTGATCCTGCTCTTTTAATTTTATTTTCGCAATATTCGATAATAGTCTTTTTATGAGTAACACCCCTGCGCAATAAAAACATTAATCGTAACAAATGTAGTACGTATTGTATACGCTAACGTCTAGTAATGTACGTCTAACCATGCGTGTCCTAATATATCGATCTTACATAGATACTACAAGAAATGAATTACGTGGAACGTGCAAATTTATAATTAATTCGACTATCCAAATAAATGAAAATACGCATGCTTAGATGATCGATATATCGATTACACTTGCTTAATCAGAGGTCCAGGATAAACCCGCAAATCGCGTGCTACAGGATCGTGTAAAAGTAAGTTGTCCAATCTAAAAATGTCCACTTTGGCTCTTTCGCCATCGGTTGGATAAGTTGGATGTACATGTATCAGAGAACCGATAGAAAGGCACCCTGAAGATAAGATACTTTTATAAGATATCGTATAGCGCTATTATATTCCATTAAATAAATTTTCAAAAATTTAACATAGTATTTGTTTGAAAGAACTTTTAAACAATCTTTTTACCGTATGCATGGGACATGGAAAATTTAGCCGGTGTCATTCGTGCAGAAGTAGTCGTCGAATCTTCGAGGGACATATCGCCTAAAGTTCGTTTATCGCCAGTCGTTCTGAAAAAGTATGTATTTTAGTTTCAAAAGTAAATCAAAGCCAACATTGCAAGAAAATGAATAAACAACGCGGAGAAAGCATTACAAACGATCGCGAAACCTCGTTCATCCGAGTACTAACAATAAGTACAAGATACCCGATATACCCAAGTTAGTTGCTACATATCGTACATTATCTACGAAGACAAAAGAGACATTTTTCTTACAAACATCTATAGCTGCGAAATAAGATTTACAAGGTATTTCTTACAAATGTATTTCTAGCGAGGAATTTCAATATCTAGCTTAACGTAAAATACTTTAGATGCTACAAAAATTTTTCAACTAAATTACTTTCACAGAATAGAAGTTGGGCATTTTCGTTATTTGGCACAAGTGTCGAACCGAGAGCATTCTCTCGGTCTCACCTATTTAAATTTTCATAAGCCGAATTCTGTCTTCGTTGCGGACTCCTGGCCCATCCAGGATAACCGAAATACGGAACATACAATGCTTTGTTTGGCGAGTGGAAGCATGCACTTGGATTTATAAAAAATCTAACACATAATCGATATTATGAATAACGATGGGAAAATATCGTTTCTTTAGTTTCGTTTCTCTATTTTCCTCGCGCTTACCTTTCATCGCAAGAGCTACGCCCTGAATGAACACTCGCTCTATCTTCCGGATAATTGGTGACGCTTCGAGAAATATGTTGCTGTTGATGTTGGTTAGCATAATATTTATGATACCATTCGGAATAAGCGGTAGGATTTGTGCGTCGCAAATTTTCTATGTACGCATAATAATTGTTGGCATATTGAACACTGTAATCGTATCCGGAATACCCTAAATGTTAACAAACAAAACGTTACTTCAAATGTTTTATTCCGGACACGTGCGAAAGAAGTCAGCGCAACGTACCATAGTAAGAATCTCTCGTTCGCATGTGGTATGCTCGATCTCTATCGTTGTAAGAAGATCTACTGGATGGTCTAGATCTGAAAATCGTATAAACGTATAAAGTATTAGGCGCCTTTGTCACTAAACAAATTTACAATGTTTTACTATTATAGAGATGGTTAGAAATGGTGTACCCTCTACTGTAAGGATCATCATAATACGAATCTCTGATATCGTAATCATCGTATCGCCTTGCTCTTCTGTCGCGATCGTCTCTTCGTCTATCACGGTCGAGATAATCTCGATCTCTAGAATATCGTGAATCGTAGTCCCGAACTTCTCTATCCCTGTGACGGCCATCATCGAGCCTATCTCTTCTACGATCGTCGAGTCTTCTTCTGCCATCCCTTTCATCCAGATCATCTTTACCTCGGCTTCTTCTATCCATCTCTTCTCTCGTATGCCTATCAAGATCGTCCTTGCTATGATGTTTGCGATCATCTTCTCGATAAGGAACTTCTCGTCGATCGAAATCATCGCGCGCATTGTACACTCGATCGTTTTCTCCTCCGCGACGACGATCGTAATAATAATCATCATCGTATTCGCGATCACGATCGTAACTGTAATCGAACAAACGTACAATGATTATTTCCCGTGAGTGTGAGTATAATTTTTTGTTATTTACAAAAATTTGATTTACTATAAATGTACTGACTAGGCGTTCTTTCGTTCGTATTCGTATCGTCGTCGTTCAGAACTACTATCGCGCCGTCTCTCTCTGCTATCGTCTCTACTATTTCCGGAACCATCGTCATCCTCGTCTTCGTATGAATCTTTACGATTCGACGAGTTGGAAACTCCTTGATTCTCACGTATGGATGCGCCAACAGCTTCCTCCCGTTTATTCCTTGAATCGTTTGTTTGATCTTGTATCGTGGCTGAAATCAAATGCAAAATAATGCGAGAATAAAAAACATCAAAACATAAATGTATATATGAAACTTGTTTTACAGCTTGTAGGTGGAACTTCTTGTGAACCCGTAACAACTCGTCCATTAGATCTGTCGTCTAAAGATTGAGCGACATCATTCGGAGATGCACCACCTGGTATCTGTCTAAGGTCCTCATCTGTCGTCTGTTGATTAGAGTCTTCGAGATCGTTGCCTCTACCAGGTATTTCACGCGTTTCGCTAGATTCCAACATAATCTGAGACAGGGCTTGATTGTGTCTTTCTTCTCCAGAAGGATCATTTCGAGACTGTTGCGGAGGTAGAGATCGCTCTCTGCCAGACGGATCGTTTCGACGTTCTAACGGATCGGAGTCTGTTCGTGAAAGTAAAGGAATGCTTCTTTCTTGGCCAGGAGGAACATCGCGACGTTCCGATCTTTCGGATACACTTCTTAACTGAAGACCTTGTTCTTGACCAGAAGGATCATTCCTTCTTGGATCTGCTAGTCTCTGAACAGATTGAACGTATTGTTCTTGCCCTGTTGGGTCGTTTCTACGTGGATCTATGGAACTCGATTGGCCCGGTACTTCCCGTAAGAAAGGAATATCATTAGGCACTTCGTCGTTTTCATCGTCTTGGCTTGGTGGAGTTGGTTCGTGCTCTTGATGGGAATCGGTTAATTCTCCGGTTTCTAAAAACGTGTTTCTATCGTTTGACGCGAATTCATAATTATCTGGTACCTGTAACATAATAGTAATAATAATAATTATTATTATATAATAAATATATATCATATATTATTATAATTATCATTTTTTGTTTTGTTATGGAAAGGAAATGATCGTTAATTAATAATTGTATTACGAATATGTAATACCTGTTCCGAATGTAGAAGTGGATGAGATCGAGCTACCTGCTGTGCAGAAGGTACTTCGATATTATTGGCTTCTTGCCTGAAATCACGCGTACTAGCTGATTCTTTGGCGAGATTCATAACCGGTTTTGGATCGTTATCCAAAGTTTCCTTGTTTATGGAATCTCTCGAGCCATATATATCCCGTTCCTGTAACGACGGCGCAACTACTTCTAAATTTACGAATTCCGTAGGCTGCTGAATAATTTCATAATTCTCTACATTTTGTTCGACACTCCATTCTTTAGCTGGACGAGCATGATCTTTCGAATACCATGCATTGTCCAAGGAACGTGCTAATGTATTCTGATTGTACCATTGATCGTATGCACTTTGCGTTACATTATCCAATGGCTTAATATTTGTCGCTGGATACGACGTGTGCGTTAAATTTTCTTTAGTAATGGCACCTTGAGAATCAATGGAATGAGAATGAGAATGAGAATTTTCCATTCCAAGCGCAGCATAATCAGAAGGTAAACCAGGTATATTATCAGGAATAGTATTGTTCTGCGTAACTGTATTTTGATTCCATCCATCGCCAGATATAGCGGGATGGACTTCCGATGGTTCGTTTTGATTTTCTAACTGCTTGCTCGGCCTAGAACCAAGATTCAATTGTTCTAGTTTAACAGGTAACTCGTCGGATGAAATATTTCTTCCCCATTCTAATGAATCATTTATTAAATTGAAATCATTGTTCTCCTGAATGGAAACATTTTCAGAGCTCGCAATTGTTGACATAGTTTCAGGAGTCGCCGATACGTTAACGCGAGAGTCGGATAATTGTTGTTTAGCTATACTAGTTTTTGTTTGTATATTGGAATCTTTTGAAATTATGGAATTTGTAATTAACGAAGGTATTGACTTCTTCCTTTCTTCTTGTTCTATGCTAGATTCTTGCGTTTGAGGTATATCGGTTAAAGAATGATGAGAGGATATCATAGGATTTTGTTGCCAGTCATTTGCAGCCATAGCACCAACATTATCTTGTTTAACAGTTTTTTCAGGTAACTTGTTATCATCCTGTTGTTCTTGTAACCACTGAGTCGTACGAGCGTCATCCGCATGCTTCCACTGTTGCGAAACACTCACAGTCGCTGTTTGAGACCAAGAATTGAATTCGTTCGTGGCATTACAAGTTGCTGGCACGTGCTGACTTTGATTAGGTGGCATGGATTCACGACTTTGACTGTTCCACTGAGATGCCGACGTATTCGTTTGATTAGACCAATTATTTGGATCGTCGATGGATTGTTCTTTGTTAGTATTCTCAGTGGAAGGTGGAAGAAGCTGAGTCAACCTAGTTTGTTGTAACGGCGGTGTACATTGATTACCCATATCGTCCAACTTTTGAATCTCTTTATCTGTTTTCTGATCCTGCCAATGTCCTGGCAAACTACCGTGACTTTGCCAATTATGGGATGACATTAAAGTCGTTTGATCCGGCTTATGCCAACTATAATTAGTACTAGGTAGAGACGGATGCGCTATTTTATCGTTTTGGTTTTGTATAGCGGTTCTTTGTTGCGCGTATTGGATATTTTGAGACTGTTGTTCGGTCGTCCACTGCGGAGGGTCAAAATTCAAAGATCCAGATATAACAGAAGTGGTTCTAGATGACGGAGGATATTGTTGATATCGATTATAATTCGAATAAGATGCGAACGAATCCGAATGATTTGGATTTGGTTGCCTATTAACAACTGTACTCTGCGTATCATCATTCGACATGGAATTCTGATTAAGTAAATCAGACTTGTTGCCATTAATATTCTGATAATAATGATCCTGAATGGAATTTGATATTAGCTGTCCTTGATTCGTATAAGGAGGTATAAAATGTTGTTGCTGATGTTGTTGTTGCTGCTGCTGCTGCTGTTGCTCTTGTTGAGGTGGTTGTTGCTGTTGCTGATTATCAGCTTGTTTATCAAAATCCCAATTCCATGAATTATTCCAAGGATCGGTTGCTTGTTTTGACTGATTTGCGATAGGTGGTTGACGTGGAATGGAATCGGTCGACAAAACATCCGACTGTACCCTTGGCATACTCCATGCATTTTGATTATGAGCTCCGTATGCTAAACTGTGATCTACTCTAGACCTAGTCGGTCTTGCTCTATAAGGATTCTAAAAACATATTTTAAAAATTAATATACAATTCTAAGTTTATCTTTTTATAATATTTCCAAGAATGATATGCTACTTACGCTCATGCTACCTTTAAGACAGCGATACTTTCTTCTTATTCGTGAGAAATCTATAGGCACAAATATCGGTATATATAATATGCTAGATTACAAGGAAGCAATAAATATAAACAGTCCCGTTGCTTCATTATTTGACATATGAAAACAAAGTCCTAAACTTATTATTAAGAAGCATAATAAATTATAGGCGATAATTTTTATTGTTACTCTCATATTTGATCGTTTCTTATGAAAAACATTTAAAGAAAATCAAATTATTCGAGCGTGTATATGTATGTATGTGCATGTGTGCGCGAGCGCGCGCGCATTTATATACGTATATACGTGTGGATTATACATATGTTACTAATAGACACCTATTTTTCATTATTCTAATCTATTCCCGCGTATACAATACAAATATCGTTGAAACGCATAGGAAGATGATAATATGTCGTGTAAAAGAAAGATGAATCGGAGGCATCGAAAGTCTAAATTGTAATACATATATATGTAAACGGTTGATATTTGTGACAAGTACGTTCGGAAAAGAAAATTCTTGAGCTTTCGCAGGACGGAACTGAAACTAATTGGTGTAATTATGTAACAAAAATTGTGAGAAAGCATTATCTCCATGTAAATAACGAGACTGGCAGATAGGAGAAAGCGATAGGACGAGAAATTGTAAGGTTCATGTCGAAAGTCAGGATACCAGCTGGGATAGCCAACTGAGCGTTCAGGGACCCCTCGTACGCATACGTTCTACGTTCACTCACCTAGCTATCGTATCTGGCACTGGCACTGGTGTCCATACGTGAGCACAAGCATTATTTTCTTCCACGGAGCATACGAATCGTCGCCTCCGCAATCTGATTTTTATTGTCGCGAATTGATCGTTTACAGGATCGAAGTGGAGAAATCACAGAAACGTGGACAATTTACGCATTTTACGGACAGTATGAAACACTGTGAAAGGAAGGTGTGGGTTATGCACGTCACGAAATTTTTCTCGTTCACTTTCCACGCGAGCAGAACCATAGACGTGAATAGACGCGCACAGCGCGAACGCGTTCTTATCCCAAACGTCAAAAAGATCTCCAATCCAACTCCAACAACGAAACGTCGTCAGATGGCGCTGAAACATGCGGTAGTTTAAAATTTCTCAAATTTACAGACGAGAAACAATGAAAATACAAAAGATTATACAGTGGGTGTAGAATGTATTCGTACACCGATCAATTTCCAAAAAAAATTTTTGTATAAAATTGTAGTTTCTTAACTGTTTTTTATATAATCAATGATATTTTACATATTCTCGAAAGTCTCTAAGATAGATATTGTCCAAACAACATTTACTAGTTAATATAATTTGTGAAATTAACAAAAAAAATACGAAAAGTGGGTAAAAGTATAGAAGCAATAAATATTTGTACGACTCTTATGACGAACTATTTACAGTAGAGTTTGTAACGTAAACACATTAGTTTATTGCTTTGTACGAATTAGAAAACATCAAATTTCCAGTAAAACAGACTTAAAAAATGCTCTAATAAAGGAATGAAAGAAGATCTCACCCCGAATAACATCGACATTTATGATAGTTAATTTAATGCCAGAAGAGTTGCAGTAATTATAAAATCAAATTTCGTTTTTTTTTTAAATGCAATTTTAAAAATTTAACACTTGTACGAATACCTATTTACTTATAGCATATAGTATATAGTATAATACTTATAATACTACTCATTTATACAAAATAACTAATCTTTCCGTACACGAAGGAAGTATTATATACTTGTAAAGTAATGTAAATTTCTTTTTTTCTTTTAATGAAGTTTTAAAAATTCAACAGTTGCGCGAATACTTATTACTTCAATATTTCTATCGATTAATTGTTTTTTTCTTGTTAATTTCGCAACTTACATAAATAACTTTTTTTTTTTTGTAATCTACCTATTCTAGAGATTTTCGAGAATATAGAATGTCAATGTTTATAAAAAATAAGTTAATAAATTATAATTTTAAATAGTTTTTTATGGAAATTGATCGGTGTATGAATATTTTCTACATAGTTTTTCTACCACACGGTACCAACACGTGTACCGTATATTAAATGATTAAGAACACTGGTATTTTTAATACACGGATATCTAGGTGCGTACACGTGCATCGAAATACACGAGTACGCGTACATCAAATTATCTATTCTCACCCGTGACTTGAATATTTATTTTAACTAGTAAATAAAGTTTTATAAATTACACTAAAAAATTTATTTTGTTATATTTATTCTTCTTATGTTTATATTCTTTTTATTTATTTATTTTACTGCATATCAATTTTTTCAAAATTAATAAGGATCATTATTTTAGAATAATAGCTTTGTTACATAAAAGTTTGTATATAAAAATAATTGGATATTGTATCCGTATAATTCGAGTACTCGTGTATTTAGATACCCGGGTGTCGGCGTATTTCGATACCTGTGTACCCGGGTATTTCGATACACGTGATGTAGGGATCTCTAGTATCCATAAACTCAAAGAATGAAACATTTAGTTTCTCAATAATTTACGGAGGAGTTTGACAAAGTTTTCTATCAAAGAAATTTCTATCTTTTTATGATAAAGTAGACGACTGATATCCGAAACATATTTATTTTTCCCTATTCTGTTGTAGTTTTTTTTATTTATTGCAAGTAAAACACGTACTGCGATAACGTGGATTTCTTCTGTACGAAGAAAAACGAATAATTTACAAGGTGAAAATAGCAGGAAAGTTGAAACTTTCCATGTGCTCGGTTTCTGCAGTATACACACAATTCCATAATCATAATTCATAATACACAGAGTCAGAGACAGCGAAGCGTAAGCGATTGACGGTGACGTGACGTGGTATACCAAGAGTGGACGTTTAACGAATTGGCCGCACCACACACCGTGGCCAGTTTCGCGTAAATGGATTTCAGCTGGTAAAGTTTCGACCGTTTCGGAAAGTTTTGTAACAGTTTTTTCAGTAGACTTAACAAAAAATTTAATTGATTTTTGGAAAAATGGTGTTGTTAACGATGATTGCGAGGATAGCAGATGGTTTGCCATTAGCGGCGACCATGCAAGAAGACGAACAGGTTAGAAATCTGTTATGATGAAACGTCAATTTTTTTTTATCAAGTTCCATTATTTTTTAGACCATTATTTCTCCGATTAATTTACGCATCACCAAACGTGACGATATTTGTCTCGTTGTTCAAGTACACTACTATTTTTTATCCAACTATGCGACTGCGTTGAGTTTATGTCATTAAAAATGACTACTCATTTTCCTCTGATATTTATACTTATTTTCCATTTCCTTTGATAGCCTACCATTTACTTTACATAAATAAAATAACAGTATTACGAATATTTTCTGTCATTTACATTACGCAATTTGATAGTTTAACAATTACTTATTACAAGTATTTTATTATTTATTTTCAGAGCGGAAGAAGCATTTTAGAATACCAGAATCAAGCAAAGATGTTATTTAGGAAATTAGGTCCTCAGTCGCCAGCTAGGTGCACAATAGAGACTGGCCCGTATTTATTCCAGTAAGTTTCATTTTACTAGCTGTAATACTGCAAACTATTAACCCTTTGAATTTGCAGTTATCTAATCGAAAATGAAGTATGTTACTTGGTACTATGCGAAAAGAATTACAGTAAACGCGTGGCTTATAGTTATCTCGAAGACATCGCGCAAGAATTTCATTCTTTGTACGGCAGACGTGTCAATACGGTTACCAGGCCTTATAGTTTTATCGAATTCAGTACGTACGACAAAATTAGTTTAAATTCTTAAATTCTGTACGCGTCAAGTATCGTATAAAAGACATTCTACTTGTTACTTTTTTAGATACGTATATTCAAAAAGCAAAGAAAGTCTTCTTAGATGGTAGGTCTAGAAGAAATATGAACGCACTTAACAGTCAGTTACAGGATGTACAAAGAATTATGGTTCAAAATATCGACGATGTCTTACAAAGGGGTACAGTTCTGTCAGGTAATAACATAGTTTGTATTTAAACGAAACGTTTTTTATACAAACTATCTATAATGAAATATACGTTCTGTTTTCAGAATTAGATACAAAAACTCAAAATCTGTCCATGTTATCGCAGAAATATAAAAAAAATGCAGCCCATTTAAATAGCAAATCGATGTATGTAAAGGCTGTGGCTGGGCTGGTTGCATTTTTGGTCTTTCTGCTGTATTTCTTTATTCTTTAGTTGTTCAAACTCTTTGACAAATTTGTTATCGCCGTGTAAAAACCACTAATGTTTTTAATCATTTTGTTTTTTTCTCCTTCAAGATTAGCAATTGTATTGTTATTTTCAACGAGTACGCAACGTGTTTAGATTTTGAATTTAATTAAGTTCGAAAACGCTGTACATAAGTTGCATCCAACGAAAAACTACCCTTGCGATAAGTATTTTATTATTTACGCGATTAATATAACGTACAATCATCTTTGTTTCTGTTTAATAAAAACCAATGCTAACAATTTTATTAAAATAAAAGACAATATGTACAGCCACTTTTATTATTTTACTTTTAAGCAATGAAAATCGATATCACCATCTCATTCCTACTCTGGACTGTATTAGGTTTATTATTATACATATACACACACAATATATACACACACGCGCGTATATACATATACATATTTTTTCTTTTATACGGGGTTGTATAATTTATTAAGTCCTTAGCGATCTGTAGTTGAAAGAAATTTATTAAATTATTATATTTATTCCTGGAATCTTAATATTCTATAAAGTATAAACGATTATATATTTATATTCTGGGAAGGGAACCGATGAAAATGTGTTATAGTTGACTTTGTGATGACATTAATGTTATTGTATTTGTACGTAATTCAGTTGTATCAGCCTATCGAGGTATTATATTTACAATAAAAATTGAATTTATACATAAATTGGATTATTTACCTATAAATTTGTCCGCGCGTATCCTTAGCGTTCCATTCTAACTAATTCATCGTACTCTGGTATGTTAAAATTAGATGAATGTTTAGTCTGTCGATTATCACTTATTTTCTCTTCGTCAGATTCCGATAACTCAGAGTTAAAAAAATAGTTTACAGTTGAAGGTTTCTTTATTTTTGTATTGGATTGATTATATTTTCGTTTCTTCTTCCTCGGTATATCTTCGTTATTACATTTACTTTCCGAATGCTCCGTATCTTCGTTATCTAAAGTATCGTTCAATTTATCACGTAACGTAATAAAAATAGTACTAATGTATTAATATATAAATAAGTCGCATACCGGTATCTATAATTTCATACATATCCGAGTGATCCTTCGGGATAACGTATATCGTTGGGAATTCAATGATAGTTTTATTTTCTAAATTTTCTTTCAAAGTAAGCGTGATATCTAACTCGTAAAACCTAATAAATACAACACGTTATTTAATATTTTGCATTTCGCAATTGATCACAAAAAATTGACGTTAAATTTCCTTACCTCGATTCTGACCGACGAATTTTTTCTGCCTTTAGAAGAACTTTTATCCCTGATAAGCCTGCCGCTTGATAAAACTGTAATCTATTGTTTAAACACATTTTTAAATTTAAATCTTCTATATCGTTAGAATTTCTTAACGATTTCATAGGATCCAAAATTTCTTCTATGAGAATCGATAATCTTGTAGTATCTAGTGCCCTATAATTATTATAGTATATCGTTGATGAAATTTATTGTAAAATGTTTATTGTATAGATATAAAATACCTTTCCGTAGTCCACTTTGTATGTTCCGCTTGTGGAAATATCCATTCTATTCTCCAATATAACTCGTTAGTTTTCCAATTTAAAAATGTTGTATTATTCTTGTGTCTATAAAAATTTTGTGGCATGAATTCTAAATTAACTTTTCTTTTAAATGCAGCTGATCTGAGTTTGCTCAAATGCTGTAAAGATAGCATTTATTAAATTACAAAATATATGTTTTAAAAATAGATAAAAATTATTACTAACCAATGGTAATATATTTTGACGCGTATATCTTTTCGATGGATCACTTTTCAACTGTTCAACTGATCTGCTAACTTCCTCGAGAAGTCTATAATCTATTACATAGTAAATAATTTACCTCGAATATATATTAAAATAAAGTAGCAGCTACGATAGCTATATTAACTAACATACCAATACAACATATAACTCACCACTTAAGACATCCAAGTCGGTAAATGATTTTAACGATACAAATTTTGTTTTGTCTCGGATACCACTGCATTCCAATTCTTTTTTGTGAATATTTACACACTGAAGACAGCAAGTCCTAACCTCACATTTTGGACACGTGTATTTTGCTTTACTTGCACCGCACACTTCGCAATCTTCGATTCTGCAAACAATCTTACTTTATTTACAAGTTTATTTGCCGACATTGGAAAGTTGGAATAGAAATAACTTTTATGTAATTCCGAGAAAATATTGAAAGTTTGAATTGTTATGATCATACCTACAACTGGATGTCGCCATTTTTAAATAATCCCAACAAATCCCACTGATCCCACTGACGATTTCACGTGGGTTCATAAATCAAAGTTCGTATTAAATTTTGCAATCAAATTTATGAAATAATGATAAATTCATTACAACGTATCAACTTTCAGAATAATAAAAGGATGGTTAAGTAGGGGTTTAAGATGTTATTAGTTATTTCTATTTTACGATGTTATTTACTAAGTATATTTTGAGAATTTCTACTAACAATTTCAAATTTTAAAGTTTCTTTATTTACTATTCTTTTATATACACATCGGTAAGTAATGTCGGTAAGTATTGTAATTGACTTTAGAAAAGTGAAATGGATATCAAAATATAGAGAGCTTTGCTTTATTTTTTCGTTGATTTTGTTCGGCAACTATATTTTTTTCAGATGCCCTCAAATCAACAATTTCTTTCTGCTTCTCGTTGTATTTCATTACAATGTTATTGTAGTGAACGCTACCCTTTGCGTGCCTCGTTAACGATTCTTTTAACTTTGAAGATTCTCTCTCCAGCCTTAAAATATTTTCTCCAATTTGTAAGCTTGCTACATTTAACTGTCGGTTGGATTCCGTTTTAAGGTAGTTCTTACTTTTCGAGGTACTCGTTTGCGTATCAGTTTTAGCTATAAGGACAAATTTAAACGTTTAATAATCGCAGCTCGAATATACAATGTGTACGATGCGAACGATCGTTTTTAGACATACATTTGTCACCTAAGGTTGCATTTATGAAATTAAATATATTTTTTTCTTCTTGTTGTTTCGCTCTTTGATATTGCCTTTCCCTTTGTCGTTCTAATTTTTGCTGTTGCTTCCGCATTCTATGTTCCACGGAAAATAGATTTTTATCTCCACCCGCATTTTCTCGCAACTCCATACAGTGATCTAAGAATCGATACTTTTTACTTGAAATACTATTGTATTGATAGTAGAACAAAATAAAAAAAAAATAGGAAGCAGTTAACGTACCTAAAGATTTACCAGCAGGTAACACGGTTGCTTCGACTGGTTCTATTCTGCCATCGGAATGTTTTCCAAGACCGGTACCAGCTACGTATCCCATGCGAGCCATTAATTTACTTGCTATACCACGCGTGTGTTTCTCCCAATTTCCTAACGGTGCATTACTTTCCAAAGTAAGGAAAGATTTGTAAATTACTTCCTTTTCAGAATAACCTGGCGAATCAGTTTCGCTATCTTCGCCATCCGTATCTTCAGATGTGTCTGACATTTCCAAGTCTGCATCGTCTACGGTAGTTGCCTCCGTGAAATAAATCGCGAAAGATGAAAGATTAAGCTTAAATGCATGATTATTTAAGAGAGTACTAACCGAGAGGCAAAATGTCTTGTAAACAAGTTTCGGCGATATTACCGCTTGCTTCAAACTTTATTCGAAAAACATCTCCATCTTTATCTGGTAATTTTAATACGACGCATCTGTGCCATAACTCATTCTTCTGCTTTGCCAGTACTCTACTTCCCATTTTTATACTTATAAAATCAGGTTCTCTACAAATAAGGGCTGTATATATACTTGTCGATTCGTATCTAGATTTCGATTAATAAACAACAATATTCGTTTACCTATATTCCTGTATGCTAGATAATGGTACTAGTTCGCCATGCGAAAATCTGCAATCCTCATCAGAAAATTTACATTTTCCATCCAAATAGTAAGGACACGGAAGCATTTCTTTGTGCGTTGGATTTAAGAAAAATACTCTGACCTGAACAACAGTTAGACTGTACTTGAGAAATATACGAAAACGACAAAAGTTATCGAGATTTCGAGAGTCTTTCTCGAAGGATAAATCGAAATTGTTACCGAAAACTAAACGCGTTTAATTCCATTAACGATATTAATTTTACCTTTATGTCTTGCATATTTTTTATTTCTGTAAGATCGTTCCGATAAACCGAGCATATCATAGCGTTATGGAAACCGACACCACCCCAACTGGTACCATGCGGGGCTCTACATTTCATGCCTTCGAGCTGCCTCAATTCTTCCTATAAGATGAACTTGCACCGTATAATTGTGTCATTGCAATGCCGTACAGAATACTTGCGTACTGACTTCTATATCGTTCGAAGCTCCGTTGGCTTGTTCGTTCTGCTTACTATTTTCAGAGTCGTCGGAGACCTCCTCCAATTCGGTCTGACCAATTTACAACAAAAACAAATATAAGGAGCTTTTTTTTCCGTTTAATTGTACACGTTTGTACATTGTTAGTTAAAAGAATCACCTTAAACAAGGCATATTCCTTTGCTAGCGGATCGTCATCCTCGTCGTTTAAATTTTCCAACTTTAACTTGTTTCCTATATCAGCCGTTTCGACGCTACGCAAGTTTTCTTTTGTCAGATTAATTAGTTCTTGTATATCTGACTTCAAGCTTAACAAATTGTCTCTGTCAGCCCGTGATGCTGTCGCGGATAAGGTTGCCTGAACTTGCTCCAGCTAACGTTGCGAATAAGTGGATAAAGTATATATACGTTAAATAATAATTATTAATCGTTAGATTATATCGTTTCGTCGTAAAAACGATCGTTCCATCATACCAGTTCATACCTGTTGTTCGTATTGCACGATCGCTTTCCTTAAACTTTCCGGGTCTGTCATGTTTACGATAAAGAGTAACAACTAGGAAGTCTTTGTGAACTGACAACCGATTTGAACGTCAAACAAATTTGAATTTGACCAAATTTGACTGAATGTGAGTTTGACAGTTACCATTCAAGTATTGTTCAGGTATAGTCAGGTATATTGGTATATGGTATAGTACCGAAACTGTACCGAAACCAAATGAAACGAAGGTGAAAGTAAAGTACTGGAAACTGGAAAGTACCAAAGCGAAGCAAGCAGCAGTGACATCGAACTATACTCTTACTGATTTTAGTTCAGAGATGGGGAAAACTCTAGGCTTCGAATAAATCTGAAGTTTGCCGATGTGTTTGTCTCGTTTCCTTCTTTGGAAAATGTTTAAAAGAGGAAACGAGACAAACATGTCGGCAAACTTCAGATTTATTCGAAGCGTAGGGTTTTGCCCATCACCGATTTTGTGGGGTTACACAGAATATCGACACGTTTATTTATAATTGGCAATTACGTTTGAACATAGCCGACTTAAAATTTTTTTTTATTGCAATTATTTTAAACATTCCCTTAGCATCCATCGTAGAATTTAAACATGTTTTCCAACCAGCTCTTTCATTCAATTTGTTAATCTTGTTTTTAATGTTATCGTTTAAATAAATTGTTATCATTGTTCATGTTCGGTGTTAGTTAGTATTTATAATTCTTTTATGCAGTATCCCTACAATTTTAGTAAGAGTGGCGCCATCGATGGAAAAACACTTCAGTTTGTGGTAAAATAGTTGCTCTTTTTACCGGTTGATGCCGCCACAAAGTCCAAATACCGATACAAGATAATACAATACGAGTCAATTAACCTATGTCGACTTTTAGACTTGGTGGTGCCATTTATTAGTAAAAAGTGCAACTATTTCGCGACAAACTTGGTCGTTTTCTCACCGGTGACACCACTAGTATTCATTCTGTGGCTGTTTTAATTGATTTGTATCGAGTTTTATTTTATAAACTTTAGGCGGGAGTGTATTTAGAAGGCGCGGAAGGATATATATATATATATATACACTCGTACAAAAAAAAATAGGGAACACTTTATAAACCCTAAAAATTAGGCTATATTCCAATAGCTGTAAGCCGGTGAAAAATCATCGTAGAAATAAAATTAAAAAAGCGTTTTAAAGCTTGAAGTTTCAACTTTAATGTGCTATTATGCGATTTTTAAATTTCTATTGTTTTTTTGTTTCGTGTTTTAAACTAAAATATGTTACCTATAAAATGCTTTTTTAGAAATTGTCCTATGATTTTTTCTGACTGATTTATACGACTTTGAACAAAAATGTCTATTTCTTACAGAAAGTATCGACACTTGGTGAAAAATCATCGTAGACAAAAAAACGAAAAAGCATATTAAAGTTTGAAATATCAACTTTAACGTAATATCGATGGTTTAAACAAATTTTTTTGTCTTCTATGTTCTGTGCTGTAAAAAAGAATGCATTGTTTTGCGCATAAGTGACGAATCTTTAATACTGTGCAGTTTAATAAAAAAATTTTTCTCGAATAATTTAACTCAAGTTCTAGAAACTACAACATATTACCTACAAAATGCTTTTTTAAAAACATTTTTTTTTGACTGATTTGCACGATTTTGAAAGTTAACCCTTTTATTCTCTAAAAACAACTTTTGTTAACTTTCAAAATCGTCCAAATCAGTCAAAAAAAATCGCAGAAAGGTTTCTAAAAAAGCATTTTATAGGTAACATATTTTAGTTTACGTAATTTGCGTTGAAGTTTTCGAAATAAAATTTTTTCATTGACTTTTGAGTTGTTAAAGATACGTAATTTTAAGGAATAAAATGACGTTATTTTGTAAAACACGAAACAAAAAAACAATAGAAATTTAAAAATCGCATAATAGCACATTAAAGTTGAAACTTCAAGCTTTAAAACGCTTTTTTAATTTTATTTCTACGATGATTTTTCACCGACTTACAGCTATTGGAATATAGCCTAATTTTTAGGGTTTATAAAGTGTTCCCTATTTTTTTTTTGTACGTGTGTATATTATTTATACGGTTTTTACGCGGCTATACTATTTTATTATATACAGAAAACTATACGCTAATATATACAGAAAAAACTATATACGCTTCTTTCTAAGATTTTTATAAGAAAACGACTCTATCTCTTTTACTCTCTTTGATGTATTCTTTGCAAGCGCTATCCACCAACTGACTTTTTCCTTCGCTTTTCGGAAGAAGAGAAAGCTGGGAAAAGGTGGCGTTAGCCGTTTCCTGGATTTTTCCCGCCATCCCGTGGAAAACGTCTTTATCGAAAAGCTTCACGCTTTTCTTTGAGTCGCGTGGAAGTAGAGGTCGCCACAATTCATTTATTTAAAGTGCGTAACTTATTATACAAAGTTATTGCAATACTGCTTACTTAATAGCTTATTACTAGCTTATTTCCATTCTTTTTATCATCGTCTTACATGACTCCTGCATTGTTTTGCCCCTCTCTAGCTCGGGTACCTCGGGA